AAACCCTAAACCTTATATATCCTTAGAGAATCCCTATATACAACGCTTAGAAGGTACTCCTGACTTTGGGAGACCCTGATTTGCCCTGACCTTCAAGTCATGGCCGGTGGCGGCTTTTAGCTCTGATTTAGGTAGGTTTAAGGTGTTTTGGGTTTAGGGGTTGGGTTTTATGGACGAGGGGCGCTCTATATACCCTAGAGATCTACAGAGACGAGTGGGTCTGAGACGGCGCATCGTTGTGAGCATGGGAATCTGTTCAGAATGTACTGTGTTTTTCCATGCAGGGATGCTTTTGAAACTTTGCGGAAGTGTATTGTGGTGTGTCTTGAGATTTCATTGTGTCCACATACTTTGGGACGTTTTCACACAACCAATCTGAGCTGGGAAATGGACACCCAAGTATAATCAGGTACTATCCTGTAAGTTAGATGCCTACTTTTGCGTGGTCGCACTGATGTTTCGTGGTATGCCCTACCTCGTACCTTACGCCCCAAACCTCGGGACAATGAAAAGCATGTGCATGTATTAAGCCTTTCACATTACCCGACCCCTTTTAGGGACTCTTACTGGCTCGGGGGCAGTAGCCAACTTAAATCCTAAACCCTAAACNNTAAATCCTGAACCCTCGATCCTAAATCCCCAGCCTAAATCCGTGGCACGCGGCTGACAGGACAAGCGCATCGTGGAGGAGAACGACAGTGTGCGCGACATCTGGTGGGGCATCTGGGTTGCTGCTAAGGAGTTTAGGTTGAGTTACGGTTTAGGGGTTAGGTCGAGGGATTTAAATTAGGCTACCATAGGACTGCGTTGCTATTGAGGGGTTTGAAAAAGCTTACAAGACCTTCAACTTGCTTACATATCCATCCCATCTTATGGCCCTGAATCCAAAGGCTGTGACCACCAGCTGAGTCATATTTGGCTTGTGATAGCTTTCTCCGTGATATAGAACAAGATGATCATTTTCTACGAGAAGAATATAACTATAATTAACCCTGTTTGGTTTAACCACACAACAAAACACTGTAAGCCCTACATTACTTTCCTTGCGCACCCAAGAGCCTCCAGTTATTATCGTGGTCCCAATATATCATTTTTTGGGACAGTCCCTATAGCTCATTTCTTCATTCTTTACTAAATCCTAAGCCCTAAGTCCGAAATAACATAGTAGTTTGCCTTTTCCCTGCCATTTCTTCATTCCCTGCAAACATTACTGGCGGCTAACTGTGGGAGTAGCGAAGTGGATCTATATAATGTACCCTAAACCCTCAACCTTAATTCGCGGTTTAGGGTTTAGGGCGAAGGTTTTAGGGTCAGAAATGGCGTTTATGGTCCTACCCTTCCTTCAGCACCCCGAACCTCAAATTCTAGATCGTGAGCCCTGAACCCTACATAGCATGCGGTTTGAGGGTTTAGGGTTCCATGTTGCTTTCTACCCCACTTACTTGGAGCATCAGGGGGACGTACTGAGTAGAAGTATATTCATAACCCATGTAAGCCAGATACTTTATCCCTTTCTATGAACCTACGTACTAAGTGATCCTGACCCTCCAAG